ATGGGGTGGAAAAGGAGCCTGCGGGTCCAGAAAGGGGAGATTGGCTGGAGCAAGTGGTGTTTCCATAGGATAGTGCAGGCCATAGATAGTTTATAGTGGGATTGGGAACAGAGCTTTGAAACCTCAAAATGGGAAATTTGGGCAGGTGAAGAGGGAAGCTTAGTCTTGATTTAGCAGGGTGGCTGAGTGGTGAAGGCAGTGAATTTAAGATCTAAAAGATGCATGTGTTCAAACCTCACTTCTGGTACTTCTTTGCTTTTTTCCCCCCTGGCAGGACTGGTCAAAGCAGAAGTCCCTGGGGATGAGGTGCACTTGGGCAAGTCAGGAGGTTGTCTGCACTCTGAGAATTGTTTAAATGAAGTCATTTCTAGTTTCCCCGGGCTGTCAAGGCATTTTATTACCCCAGCACAGTGAACTTGGGCTCAGACCTCTCTGCCTGCTTCCAGCAGTCAACAGATTCAAGCTTTGCCCAAGCAGCGATCGTGGGAGGTGTCCCAGGGGTCTGCTAAGCACTCTTTCTTCTTCTGGGGATGTGGTGTCAGGGTGTTGTGATACACGCATCAAGCAGGGTGCTGCAAGCCAGGCTGGGAGGGCAGCCCTCTGTCACCCACCTGGGTGTCAAGGTCCTGCCGTGCTACAGCCCTGGCAGGTGGAGAGACCCCCCACCCCAGCTCTCCTCCCACTGCCTTCAGATTAAGACTGCTAGCTACCCCACTCTGCATATAGCTAGAAGTCACAGCTCCTGCCTTCCTCAGCCTGGCACAGCGTCCAAGAATGTCAACTGAGTCCTTCCCAAGCGCTCATTTTCTATCCCTGGTGGTATGTCCTTCTTCCCCTTACCCATGCCTAGCAAAATGTTTTCTCTCTGCACCTAGGCACCTGCAATTTGCTGGGAGTATCTCTTTTCTCTGGCCATTCATTTGAATTAATGGGAAAAGCTTTCAGCTACTACAACCACTGCTTCTTCCCCCTCATTATTACTGTTGATATGATTGCTGTCCTCATCATTATTACTATTGCTCTACTATTATTACAGCAGCTGTTCTCATCATCCTTTCCATGATGGTTGTTAGCAACATCATCACCTTACCTTTATTACCAGTGTTATGACTAGTTATTGATTTCAGCTGACCGGACATACCCAGCGACACTAAAACCTCCCGTCCCATTAGGGTCTGCTTTGCTAAAGCAAGGTTTTTTGGGGGGAGGGGAACCCGCCCCCATGCATCTCAATACAAAAGGTGAAGAAAGACAAAGAGGAAGCAAAAGCCACGATCCAAAGTCCAAACGAAGCCAGTGGATACTTTTGATGAGGATGATTAACAACACAACAACAATAATAATAATAATAATCATCTTTTCCTAGTTTAGTTTCCAAACGGTCACAAACACTTGACCTCCAGTACTTTGTTGGATTCCCCACGTGGTTATTTCCAGCTTGGCAAGCAGTGATTTTCGGAGGACATCTGAAACCAGATGTTTCCCCACAGCCTGAAATGGGTTACTGGGCTGCCCTTGCTCCGCACCCCTGGGCATAAGCAGGATGCCGCGGAGGGAGCGGTGGGGAGCAGGGCACAGGCCTGGGTTTTGCAGCTGGCCCCACGTACCAGCAGAGCCCTAGCAGCCAGCACTGGCTCTGCAAGTGCGACCGCCAAAACACCTTGCAGCTGCCCGGATAGCTCAGTCGGTAGAGCATCAGACTTTTAATCTGAGGGTCCAGGGTTCAAGTCCCTGTTCGGGCGATAGCGGCTCCCTTCCTTTTTGGCAAGCTCTTTTCCTCTCCCGGGTGCTGGAGACAATCCACGGGCGTCAGGGCAGGGGCTGGTGCATCCGCTCAGCACTGGGCTGTGCTGGGAGCGAGAGCCGGCACGGCCGCTTGGCGTGGATTTTCCTGTGCAGCCCGGGGGGGCGAGCTGAAGGAGGTTGGAGAGGTCCCCGGCCTAGTGCTGGGGGATGGGACACAGGGCGCCCCCTCCTTCCTGAGGCCTCTCAGGGCTGCAGCCCTCTCCCTGATGCATCATCATCCCCATCAGACATGGGGAGGCTGGGGCTGCAGGATGGCCACCCCCGTGGGTGCAAGAGACTCCACTTGCATTCAGGCACGATTGCCAAAATGCATGGTGGGGAGGAAAGGGGGGTGGCTCCACTGGGGCTCGAACCCAGGACCTTCTGCGTGTAAAGCAGACGTGATGACCACTACACTATGGAACCACTGCTCTGGGGCCTGGGGCTGGCCATAGGAAGCTCAGTGAAGTAGTATTGATCATAGGTCCAGCTGGCTTGCTGCAGTCAGCCCCACTCAGCCCTTCCTGGGTCTCTCATGCACCAGGAGCTACTGCCCCAATTTTATGGGGAAAGAATTTGCAAAGAATTTGCATACTAGATGCCAATGAATCCCCATGGCTTGTGCTTCAGTTGATTGTAAAGAGCTTCACACCACGAGTGCATGTATGTGTGTGACCATGCACCCGGGGGGGGGAAGCATAGAATTATTCCCATTTTACAGATGGGGAAAAGGAAGCACAAAGGGGAGGGACTCGCCCAAGGCCATCTCATAGGCCAGTGGCAGAGCAAACGGCAGGACTTCTCTGGGACCACTCCCGGGCCCCAAA